GTTATCCATATGTCTTTATTAATGTTAGGGCTATTATCTATGTGTCTTTATTAATGTTGGGGTTATCCACATTAATACTGGGAGTTATCCATATGTCTTTATTAATGTTAGGGCTATTATCTATGTGTCTTTATTAATGTTGGGGTTATCCACATTAATACTGGGAGTTATCCATATGTCTTTATTAATGTTAGGGCTATTATCTATGTGTCTTTATTAATGTTGGGGTTATCCACATTAATGCTGGGGGTTATCCATGTGTCTTCCTAGGAAGACAATGGTTTTGGTCAATTATTTACACTGGACGTTGTGGTAGATAAAACCATAACATTACATTGACCCTATCACTAAGTCCATAGTTTGAAGGCTAGCGTACACAAATGTTTGGAAGGTAACCAGTCGGTAGTACCCGCCGCCTGAAGGGGCTTCGCCTTACCAAATAAACTAAGTAAAAGTATTAACTCTAACTCTTATAACGCACCTACAGTTAAGATTGCAAAAAATATTTGATAACACCACGTCTAAAACTCGTAAGCTCGAGACCTTCTGATCCGCAGTCCGATTAGCTAACTTCAGGTTAGTCCTAAGTCCAAATACGTAAGTAGTAAGAGTCACTTCGCTGGCTGTCCATATATAGAAGAAGTGAGAAAAATGATAATATACCATTAGATCATATACATATCCATTGTTACGATCCCTTCCAGTTAAAGATTAAGTGTTGGAGATTATTGATGGTTGGCTAAAATAATAAAGATACAATAACTCTTTTAAAAACGTTTTCTTTCTCACCAGATATTCAGTAAACAAGGTATATATATAAAAAATGTTGCTAGGCCTGAAAATTTCTTGTTCACAGTACTGAGGAATTGGCTGGTCGGTTTTATTTCAGCGGTAACGAGGAGTAAACCACGGAGCCTCGGATCCACAGGCCGGCACGTTAACTACTGGGACGCACTCTACCTAATGAGATTAGAAATATTATTTTGAAAGATAAAAATAATATAATATGAAATCTGCTTTTTGTTCTTATTGAAAGTTATTTGGAAATCAATAATGATAACGACAATTTAATTACATCTTCCACAACAGCATATGTACGAAATGGTTTGAAGCCTAAAGAGCACTTATGAAGATACAGAAAATAGAATTTAATAAGTAATATAGTCCTTTAATTAAAAGATGTGCCAAGCAATAACTAATTTAAATATTTATACGATGAGTGTCTAAAAATTTTAAAACGAAATAAATAATAAAAAAAAGGCTTAGCTACAAAATTAGTCGTACCAGTTTTCGCTAACACTTAAAACAACAAACGCAAACGTTTAGTACACTCGTATGATTTGAAAGAAGTAAGAAAATATGGGATCAAACTTTTATTTATTTTTCGTCACATGAAATGGCGACGTTGGATCATTTATCTTAAATTAATCACACCAATAATTAAATTAAGCTCATGATTTTGGTTTTCTAATCTCCATCTTGAAAGACTCTCGTAGCATCTGCCAATCTTAGGGTTAATGACTATTACTCTGTCGTCATAGTTACGCTCCTGTCATGGTGATTTTTCGTTTCTAACAGCCTCCAACGATCAAAACAGTAATACTAAAAACAGAAGAAAAAAAACACTGTAAAATTAAAAGTTCATGACTAAGACATTGACCCCAAAACTATCTACAGTCTCTCCTAAAAGGAGAAGATAGGAGACGTGTAGGCGAAGGGTGACAAATATATTTTAATCTGAAAACTTTCAAACTTGTAATGTATAATTCATGCCACGCAAACGTAACCTCTCCGTTCACGTGCCTACCATGATGAAATCGACCACGTGCTGAAATCTCACGTGTAATACACAGAAAGTAAAGCTGACGAATAAGTAAGAACATTAACAATTGTACAAGAAAGCAAATAATTCATTTTAGACCTTAGTTAAAGAATTTGTATACAACCAGACGCAGCTCCCTCTATCCATCTCTTTACAAATAATTATAAACAGCTAAAACAGGATTAAATCGATGAAATATATCAACGTTTTATCAGACGCTGTTTCATTAATTTGATTTTATTGAGCATGACATCTCGTATATTTGAAATTCGGTTTTTCTGTTTGTCTGCCTGTGTGTGTTCTAACAGCCAAAACTAACTAACGGTTCTTTGCGTGTGATTATTATTATTCTTATATAAATATTTTTCACAATTAAAAAATCTTGGACTTACAAAACGTAGTTATTTGATTTTGTTCGCAAGGTTTTGGTCATAATTACTTTAACTGTTGTCAAGTGAC